ATTATTATCTATATAATTTGTTTTGTTGCGTTTCTCACTCTCCTATCATTCATTGTTGGCTTTGAAGACTCCCTCATATAAATGATGGCTAATAGTGTAGCTTTAATGATGAAGTCAAAACTTTCTCTTCAATCTCTTTATAGGCATGCCTTGAGCTTTAAGGGCCAACAAAAGATGGCCTCTTTGTTAAACTTTACGCATGCATTGTGCTCTCACTTTATGTGCAGAAAAAGGGGACTTTGAGAAACATCTCAAATTAACAAGTTATACTCGTATTAACAGGCGATTTTAACTGAAATGTTTCCTATATATTAACACGCATTTGCTAGTACTTTAAAACTCATTACAAGTTAATGATGCACGCAGCAAGTCACAAGTCACATAGAAGAACAAACAAATATTACGAACTTTGCTAATTGTACGATGATTCCTTCATTACGAGTTAATGATCCACACAACTAAGTCACATAAGAACGAACTTTGCTAATTGTACGATGATTCCTTCATTACGAGTTAATGATCCACACAACTAAGTCACAGAAGAACGAACTTTGCTAATTGTACGATGATTCCTTCATTACGAGTTAATGATCCACACAACTAAGTCACAGAAGAATGAACAAATATTACGAACTTTGCTAAGTGCATGGACTTTTTTTCCCTACTGAAAGCAATAAACAAATCCACGTACGGAAAGCTTAACTAATTTATCTGAAACACAAAAATGCTACATGTAATGTGCCACAGGTAAATGAAATAAGTTTTACACACATCATAAATAGATACAAAATAAATACATACTGCACATAATATTCTTATCTAATATATGTGTTTTTTTGTGTGTGTTTATCACATCATTGAACAATCTTTGATGATTTGATTGCTCAAAAGCGCTCTTAGCACGATTATAATGTTGACATATAAGCAGTAAAATTCAAACAAAAAAGGGCTACGTAAGAAACAGAAAGTGCAATGAAGGACAGCCAAATAAATAGTGAACAATAATAGAACATTGATAGATTAAAAAAAAAAAAAAAATCATGAGTTCCAACTTATCAAGTAGATCAGCCACAATCTAGATTACATTACAATATATAAATCCAGATCAAAAACTCATTATCCCTCTCTCTCAATGTAGTTTTGTTTATCGGAACTCGAAACGACCTCCATTTAGCCGAGTCGTTCTAAGAGTCTAAAGATAAAGCTGCCATCAATTCCACCATTTGCTCTCAGACAATGATATAAGCTGCAATTTGGGAAAAAAAAAAAAAAAGCAAACATAAATAATGTTCAAGAAGTCGATATATCATGCATGCACAAAGCTATTAATATCCTAAAGTAAATGCGCTGTCACGTAATGCAATATGTGAAAAGAGGAAAAAATGTATACCGGTTTTTGAAGTAAGGCTGAATCTTAGGGGTAACTTCTGTAACTAACCCTCATAAAAAAAATAGAAATCGAAAGAACAAATACTGCAAAAAGTTTATTTTCTCAGAGCTTTAAACATGACTTCTTTGTTTTGTTTTTTTTTTCTTCCCACCATTTTTTGTTTCTTGTATCATTCGCGAAATTCACGTAGAATTTGGAAAGGAGAAAATACTTTTGAGTTCCAACTTCAAAGCACATTTCTTACTTCAAGCAAAGGCAAAATGAAGACATGTATCAAAGTCGTTTGAGCATATTGTTTCTTGACTTGTACTTTCTAAATACATTACCATCTATTCTCTGTCGACCATAGCCCAAATCACATTTTTTATCCATTTGCCCCATCAGATACATAAATGACTTAAATCAAGGAGACATTGCAAGTTACCGACAGGAATAAAAAGTCGATATCTAAGACATTAAAATCAAACGACGGCCTCTAAAGGCAAACAAGGAGACAAATGAAGCCAGCAAATCATTTTACCCTCGATTTTAATCATGCAGCAGAGGTTAAAAGTTATAACCAGCGACAATAACATGATTCCAAATTATTATGAAAAAAAAAACGATCATGCACATGCATCCACCAACTAACCATGCAAACGAGGGAAAACAGACTAACGGATTTATACCTGCCGAGCAACTTGTGCCAAACGCCTACTGTCTCGTGAAGACTCCATTGACAAGCTGGTCTTCAGTTTCTCCACCTTTTTATCGGCATTATTTTCACCAAATGTCTTTTTTCCCATCTCAAGAGAGCCATTGATGTTGGATTCACTCGGAGCTTGTCTCTTTCGCTTCCTTTGGAAAGTATACTTATAATCTCTTTCCCTCACAGGCCGGCCTGAAATCCCTTCGGCACATTCAGATGAAATTAACTCCATAATGCACGATGATGGCCCATCTGCTTTCTGAACATTGTCCATTTCTTCAATCACCCCATTTTTATCCATTTCCATTGTCTTCTCACCACTAAATTCGATAACATCTCTTTCATTGTCACAAATATCTTCACATTCTATCAGATTTTGTGTTAAATCCTTATCCAGTGACAGCTGTGCACTATCAGAATAAGCAGATTTTGTTCCGATACATGGAATAACGGTCTTTCTCTTTCTAATGGCCCTCTTACCTTTCGAAGAGATAGAATTGAACCCAATTAGCTTAATATTCGGCAATGTCTTATTCTTCTCAAGCTCTTTGCTCTCTTTGGGAATTTCCTCTGAGAGACTCAAATCCCTATCCAGAAGGTTCCTATCACAAGCACGTATCCTTTGAGTGCACCCGTTTTTTCGGTAAAGACCGGGCTCTTTGCTTCTCAATATTATGGAAGGCAAGTCGATTTGAGATGATGCATTTGGAGGAAGGTAATCAACTGATTGGTAACGGTAGAGATTGTTGATAACTGGGTTTTTCTCATTTGGATAAGTGTGAACCAGCCCATTTACATGATATGTATTCTTGGGCTTTTTTTCCCTCTCTAGTTCGGCTTGGGCTTGTCTTAACTCTGCTCTGAGGTCACTAACAATGTCTTCGGCTTCCTGAAGTTGAGCTTCCAGCTCGTCGATTTTCTTCTGCTGGTTTGACAATGTTGCCTGTGATTGGTAAATCTGTATAGGTTGATGAAATAAGCGGATTAGAACAGATCACAATAACGCGCATTGAAAAAAAATTACAGAAGAGGTAAAAAGTCAATCTGATCGATCGTTTTTAACAAATATGATTGAGAGTCTTCTTCTTTTCGAGAGAAACAGACCTTTCTGATTGTAAGAAAAAAAATGGTGTTTTGACATGATTTTACACGTTATAAACAAGTAACGAAATAACAAAACAACTACAATTTTTTTAAGAACATGCACGCACACACACATATTAAATGTTTTTCCATTTCTGTAAAAAATCCACTTTGCTAAAAGCCGTCCACCGCTAAATTAAAATAGAAGGCATTCGTAAATTTCAGCACATAACAAGATTTTTAAAATCACGATTTACCGAAAATTACATAATTCTACATAAAATTTTCCAGCAGATAATAAAGGTATAGAACATCATAACAACATGGATACAGTCATATTCATATCCTCATTTTAGTGAAGGCAGTTGATCGTGCAGCAAAGCAAAAGAACGAAGACACGTGTTGAGATCCTACCACGAATGAAAAGGACTCAACATGATCAGAATACACGGAAGAAACAAATAATATCTTCAAAATTTCTATTTGTTTAAGTCGAAGTTTTCACCCATTTCACTCATCAAGAAACACTTGTAAACTTTGGAGTTCCATTACAAACAAAAGGCTCACACTAATTAGAGAAAAAAAAAACCGCAGCTAATTCTAACAAGCATGTTTCATTCAGAATCAACATCTAAGACAAATCACAAATGACCAACTGCAAGATTACACAAGAACCAAGCGTAGAGACCTTCATCCCGCATAAAAAAAGGCATTGATGATAACAGATAAAAAACCCACTTACCCACAAAAGGACATCATTAAGAGCTTTTGATGCACAACAGAACCAAACAAAACCATGTTCTTAATACATTCAACCACTACACCATACATTGAAGTCCCAACTCAAAACAGTAAGCAATCCTTTCATAACTAATGTTTCTCAGTTGAAGAAAAGCTTAAACTTTGATTCACCTGATAATCCATCATTTGCTTAAGTCTCAGCATCATTCTCAAACCCTCGTCTTTCGCCACCTTCAGCTCGTGCTGGTACATCACAGATTTTTTCTCTGATGCCATAACCCTAGCTGCTGCCTCCTTGGATATACTGAGGATTACATCAGCATAAGCCTTTTTCAACCCCGCCAATCTCTGCAAGCCAGAAAAACGGAAATTATTTTCGGCCAAAGGAAAACTCCACCTTTATTGTGAAAAATAAAAACGAGTAGAATCAAGAAATCATATAGAATCAAAGTGTAAATGGGTAATTTCAAGAGAAGTGCAAAAACGCAGACTAACAAAAACACAAAGATCAATTGAGGGCCCATCATTAATCAGTAGAACATGACCAAACCAACTGGAATTCTTGAAACGAACTTAATCACAAGAACTATACAAACCACCATTTTCGACTTAACAAGATTACAACTATTACGCGATATATTCTTCAAGAAAACAGGCAAAACCCAAACCAGTCCGACAACATTGAAGAATCCAAAACCCCATCAAAAGTAAGCTCCAAAAAAACAAAAAGTTGGAATCAATACCCACAAACAATGGCCAAAATTAAAAAAAAAAAAAAAAA